ATAGATTTCATGATGCTATTGTAATTCTATAAATTCCAATCCAATATCTTGAACCATTCAGAAATTATTCAGGTGGCCTGTTTTAGGAACATCACTCTGTATATCTATAATTAATATATTTACATTCGTGTTTTGATCATAAGTTTATTTTATAGTAACACAACCAACATCCTCATGCATCAATAAGAAATAGGAAACTAGATATGAATCGGTTACTAATTCTGAATAATTTATTATATTTAAATAATTATTGTACTTTTCATAGAATGGCGCTTATCATAAAATTCTTTAACGTTTGTGTTAGCTTTATAAACCATAATTGTTTCTTGTTTATTAGTAACAACGCTGCATATTTTATTAGTATGATTAAATAAGTTAATTTAATATCAATTTAATATTAAATAAGTTAATATAATACGTGAGATGTTAATTTAGATGTCTCTTCAACAATTTAAAGTTAATATCTTATATAAGGATTGCCTTATGATATTTTACAGGAGATAATAAATAGCATTAGATTAAATGGAAAAAAAATCAATATCAGTATTCATTGTCAGTTAAAATTAAATATGTTCCGCAACTTATTATTAGATCCAGAGTTCGAATTATGGATAATTTTTATGATCCATAATTGCAAGATCATTACTTTTCAAGATCACTGCTTCAGTTAATAGAACAAATAAAATATTCACGATATATATTGTGAATTATAGTTATATATGAAAAAAAAGTAATAAAACCGTTCAATACTATTATAATAGCTGTTTATTTATTTTTTTAAACTGTAATACGTTAAGAAATAAAAAAAGTTTTTATTTAAAAAAGTGAAAAGACAAAAAAACACTACTAAATAGGTGAGTTTCATTTAATGATCGATGCGTACTCTAGTGAATGACCAGCGTATGTACAAGTTTCCTTTTAAAAGAAAAGAATACATATTTTTAAAAGAATAAATAATTTTCCGCGTCATTATTTTGGCAATACCGCCAGTAGTTATTTTGCTCTATACTACGATTAGTGATTGCTCAACGACTGATGCAGTGATTAAAATTAAAAAATATAAAATAGCATTAAAATTGAATAAAACCTTTCCTCCAAAATATTCTTTATAATTAATTACAACTACTATAAAATGATGATATTTAATGATGATAATGATGACTAAATATGATTATTTATTGATTACTTAATATAAACTTTTATCTTTAGGATAATCCAGAATTAGTATCTTTATCCTAATATTGAATAGTTATAATAATTCACAATCAAGATTCAACTATGTTATTTAATCTAATTTCTGTAAATTTCTTTAGTTTCCTTCTCTTTGTTAATCAGTATTAAATGAAATTTATGTATTTTATCAAACAAAGAAAAGTTTTAAACAAAATTTAAGCATCCCATTACGCTCATCAATTCATGACATAATCATTTATTTTAAAATCAACGACTCACATAAAAGTCGGCAGATAAATTATATTCACACTGGAATTAACAATATCAGAGGATAACAATTCTCTGTATGTATCTTCAATTCAGTTTTATTTACAATTAGAAAAAAAGATAATCCAAATTATTTTAAATCCTAACGGAGGACATTATGCTAACTACTAATATATTTCTCATTTTATTGTATTTTATTAGATATAATATTTGCAGTTCACCACGTACAATATAATTATTTAAGAATTCTTCAAAGTCAAAATTAAGTTATTCGATATTATTTGATAATAGGAATATGACTAAATCGATTATTATCAAAGACATGCTTTAAAAAATAAAATTAATGTCGCGTGATACAATATGTACGATTTTACTGTTTTTAGGTAATGAGACATGGAGATAGAGCACCTCTGGATACCTATCCAAACGATCTTTATGTCAACTATACTATGGGGCCCAATGGTTGGGGTCAGCTAACAAATGTAAATATTTTGCCTTTTGTTTTTCAAACGAATTTGTCTTACAAATCGTGCTTAATTAATTAATTAAAAAACTAGGAAGGAAAGAGGCACCAGTACAATCAAGGATTGTTCCTGCGAAAGCGTTACGATAACTTTCTAGGTTCGACGTATCATCCCGACATACTTCATCTGCAGAGTACCAATGTGGATCGTACGAAAATGTCGGGTCTATTGGAGGCCGCTGGTTTGTGGAAACCTAACGAGAAGCAGACATTCAAATCTGATCTACCTTGGCAGCCAGTTACACTATTTTACCAGGAACGTCAAGACGACACGGTAAGCACTTTTGTAAATATTTGCCCAAACAAATCGATCTTTCTTAACTTTTTATTGAACTACTTTAATAGAGAGAATGTATAAATCATATTATATATGTGTAAATTATAATAATGACTTGTGATATCATAGTTCAATATAATTGAAACAATGAACCGTGAGAGCCTGTAGTCTCGTTGAAATTTTATTATCATGAACAATACGTAAATCTTTCAGCTTATGTTAGTGTGGAATACGTGTCCGAGGTATACACAACTGCGCTCTTCAGTGTACGATTTGCCGGAAGTCCAGAAGGTGCATGAGGACAACAAGCAACTGTTCGCAGAGCTTTCGAACTTCACAGGTATGCCAATCAGGACTTTTGAGGATGTCACTTCACTTTATGGCACATTATCAGCTGAGGTAAGATTACTCAATGTTTTTTAAGCACTTAATATGCCAGGCTACTCTATGAAATGACTAATACTGCATACGTGTATTCAGCCTTTCGTTAAAGAAATTGAACTTTTAACTATTTGAATTGTCACAGGAAAGCATGAATTTGACTTTACCAAAGTGGGTGAAGGATTACTATCCCGATAAATTATTACCTTTGGCCTTGTACGGTCTGCAGCTTAACACATACAACGATGAATTCCGTAGACTAAACGGTGGTCCCATGCTGAAAAAATTCACCGACGATATGTTAGCGAAAAAGGGAGGCACTCTAAAACCTGAAAGGAGGAAAATGTTTATGTATAGCGGTCACGATATAACTGTTGTCGCTCTACTGGACACAATGCACATTTGGCATAATCAAGAACCCCATTTTAATATCATGACAATAATAGAGTTGCACGAAGATAAAGGCGAATGGAATGTTCAGGCAAGTATTAATTTTTTACAATCAATTCATTAAAAATTTCTACATAATTTGGTTATCAAAATGGGAAGGATTTGAAGATATTAAATTTTGATTGTTTTTTCAGACATTAAGTTTTTTTTTAAATAAATAATTCATACAGTGAAAACAAAAGATAAATGAGCTTTGTAATGAAAGTTTTAGGGCTATCTGTGACTTTTCTGATCATGGATTTCAATAATTTTATATTCATAAATAATTCTTAAGCATTCTTGAAGAACAAAAATATCGTTTTTATAGGTATTTTTAAGAAATACGACATCTCACGAACCATATCCGATGATAATACCTGGATGCACCATTAAATGTCCTCTTGATAAGTTTGTGGAGATCCTAAAGCCGATGATACCAGAAAATTGGAAGGAAGAGTGCAAGGTCGATGGTAACTTTACAACTCCAACACCACCGTCTCCTTAAGATCGGAGCCATAAACAAAGAAGAAGACCATCACCTTCATAGAAACTGTCTTTACATTATTAACTGTATTATAATGCAAATAACTTTATTGTATGCACACTGGAAATAATTATTTACATCACTAGCATAAAAACAACTTTTATTTCCATTTTTGGGATATCAATTTATTATTATTTATTAAGAAACCCAATCAATTTTTGAATTCTCGTCTTATCAGGATCGAACAACTTCGAATCTCTATAATTAGATTATTCAATTCCTAATTTACACATGCACAAAATTTTCTTCACATTCCTACCAATTGTTTTAGTACTCTGATCTGAAGAGTCACAAAGAAAGATTAAGCAAAAATCTTCTCTTCCCGTCGCTTCTTCGTGACTACTGTTCCAGGCTTATGTTGGGCATCTGGATGATTAAGCAATTCCGGCGGGCAGGTAGATATTGGGCTAGAGAGTATCGTTTGCTTAAGATCATAAAACAAATGGCTGTCGTCCTTCGTGCAGAAAGAAATGGCGAGGCCAGCTTTGCCGGCACGACCAGTTCGACCGATTCTATGCGTGTAATCTGTAAGCGGATATATAAAAATTTAAATAAGTAAATTATAACTAATCATCAGTTAAGATAACTTTCATCCTCATTGGATAATATTAAATTTTAGTAAGCTATCTTTATAAAAAATAAATGATATTCTGATAATTCTGATTCATTCTTGCTAGAGAATCCAAAAGTAGTCATCGATATTAATGATTACATAAAAGAAAGATAAAGATAAATCAAATATTTATTCAATTATTATCAATTTACCTTCAATAGTTTTAGCCATGTCGTAGTTTATAACCATCGACACATCCTTGATGTCGATACCTCGTCCTGCAACATCCGTTGCCACCAGGATGTCTTTACTTCCACTCTTAAGAGATGCCAGAGCGTACTCTCGCTGTTCCTGGCCTTTGCCACCGTGTAGAGTACAAGCATTATACTACAACGAAACAAAAAGTATGTTAGATCTTTAGAATATTTTAAAATTTCTACGTTTTTGCAGTCTCAAATAATTTCATAATGAAAGATTTCAAGTTCGAGAAATTGCATGCTACAAATTGATATAAGTTCAATCGCAATCACAGTGAATTAACAAATGATTGTATGTATTTATCATCTTATTTATCATCAAATTCAAGTTACATACTCCTAATTTTTCCAAGCCTCTCGCTAAGACATCCGCTCCCTTCTTTTGATTGACAAATATGATAACGGGCGGCTCGACGCCTCTGCTGAGTATCTCCATAAGTTTCTTTCGCTTGTCAGCTTCACCCATTATGTGGACTATCTGCTCGGTGCGTTCTGTCGGCTTACCGACGCTGCCGATATACACTACCGCCGGCCTTCTCAAGTAAGTCCTAGCAAGTCGTTCCACAGCCGGTGGCATTGTGGCGGTGAACATCACCGTCTAAAAGCAAAAAGTGATTATCGATAATAATCAAATTAATCATATAAATCTCACTCGCTCTTTGATTTCTAGTAAATATAAAATGCAACCAACAAGATGGTGTTAAAAAAAAATACAATCTTGAATAACGCCAGATTCAAAATACTGAATTACTTGATCGCAAATCGCTTCCGCGTGACACAATTAAAGTTAAGATTCTCAAAGCATGGATTGCGAATAGATTTTTGGAGCATGAGAATTTTCAGAATGTTAAATTACACTTGTTACATTACATAGCTGTACAAACATTTGCCCACGTCTTTTCACGATTTCATATGTGTAAAGTTGGATTTTAACGATAGAGATCAAAACCAAATTTTAACATAACATTACAATTATCAATCTCCTTGTATCTACATGAAAATAATTCGCATCAATGTCGCCGTCAAAATTGTCATCAATAGAAATAGAAAATAAACATATTTTTCACAAATATCTCATTATGTATTTGAGATTTATAAAATTGTACTCAATAAACAATAAAATAAAAGGAATAAAGTAATATAAATAAAATAATAATCAATTGATTCCCACCCTCCGTGCTTTTTCATATTTACTAAAGCTAGATAGGACCGCGAATGTTTGTCATTTTAAAAAGTGAATCACGCAAGTTTGGGAAGCCCTAATCTAGAGAACAAAAACTATCAAACAAATTTAAAAACTCGTACTTGTCTATATTTCTTCTTCGTATTGTAGTTAGCTAAAAGTTTCTCCTCATTTTCTGCGTCCTCATTATCTGGTTTCAAATTTGTCACAGGCATATACTCCAAAATTTTCTGAACATCTAAAAAAATTAGCAATTTTTTTAATAACATTTTATAGGTACATACATTAGACAACAGGATATCTGATTCCTTTTATAAAAAAAATAAGAAGTAACTTAAAATCAATTCACACACACACACACGCGCCCACGCGCGCACGCACACGCACACGCACACACACACACACACAATTAACACAATATCTGTAATCTTATTAATTACAAAAAATGATAAAATATCTGGTCAGATTGAAAGAGAGAAGAATGTTAATATTATAAATCAAATGAAAAAAATTTTCTTGAAATTATAGAACATTAGTTAATTATAAATTTTTCGAGTACCTGGCTCAAAACCCATATCGATCATTCTATCGGCTTCGTCTAATACAATATAAGTGCATTGATTCAGTACGAGATAACGATTTTCTAAAACGTCTATCAATCGGCCAGGTGTAGCAATAACAATCTAAAAAGAAAATTTTCAATTCAATACTTTACAGTTATAGACTTTCAGTTCTGATCAATTTCACAATTTTTGATGGAAATTATTGAAATCGATTATAATAACGATTCATAATAGAGACTACCTCGCAACCCATTCGTAATCTGAAACCTTGCTCCTCTCTTGATAGACCACCCACCACCACGACAGTTCGGATGCCCAATGGCTGACCGAATTTGTTAGTCTCTTCTTCTATTTGCTGTGCTAATTCACTGCAATATAAATACAATGCAAAATATTTATCTGTACTAATAAAAATGTTCTTTATTTAGGCGATTAATTGCTTCATCAATATTAACTGATTAAAATGATTAAATACTTGCAATTACATAAAGACTAAATACATATTACATAATTATGTTCAGAAAATAATATAAATAAAAACAATATAACTGAGAAACAATTGGTACCGAGTAGGTGCCAAGATAATGCTGTAGGGTCCTTGATCTGCTTCTTCGAGCCTTTCGATTTTCGGTAAGCTAGTGATCCATAATAACAAAGGAATCAGAAAAGCTAGAGTCTTTCCTGAGCCAGTTTCAGCGACACCGATAATATCACGATTCTGCAAACCGATAGGAATAGCTTGTCGCTGAATAGGCGTAAGATCCTTATAGCCAACTTTGTCAATAATGTCCAAGATCTCTTTTGGGAAGCCGGACTCCTTCCAGGAACGGATAGGATCGGGAATGCGGCCACCCTTTATTGTGATGTTGTAGTCTTCCCTGAAGATACGCCAATCACGTTCAGTCATCTCGTTCAAGGCCTTTTCGGACCAATGCCGATCATCCCACTTTTGCTTCTCCTCCTTTCGTTTCACTTTCTTCAACCTCATTCTTAAAATTACAGAAATATTTGATTTATAGCAAATAATTCTCATAAATAATAATAAGCAATAAGAATCTAATAAGAAGTGATACTATAATTCTGTCTTAAATGGATTGAAAATTCACAATCAAAAAGAAATATTAGTCATTTCAGCGACAAAACTCACTTCTCTTGCTCCTTCTCAGCCTCTGTGCGTCTCTTCTCTAACAATTCTCCATAAAACTTGCTCTGATCCCGCTTCTGTGCTTTAATATCGATACCTGCAAGATTGCCTCTACCAAAAAATTGTACTTGATGTCTCTCCTTGTAAATATTGTTATAATCCACAGAAGTGTCCTCTGAAGTATCCCAATCAAAGACAAATTTTCTATCGTTCAGCCGTCTGACTCGCCGTTTTTTTTTCACCAGACCTAAGTACCGTTCTTTGATAGCCTCCACTTCTTTCTCTTTATCCTTATCCTTAATATCATCATCGCGTGAGCGTTGTCCATCTCTCCTTCTACTAATGAAAAATATATTT